CAAAAAAATTCTCAAAATTTTATGAGACGAAAATAATGTTCAAAGTCTTCACTTCTTCGAATGGTTATATGATAATTATCTCTTAATTGAAAACGGTATTCAAACTCAATTTTTTCGAAAATAAAGTTCTATACGGAAAAGTTGTATTCTATATTTTTACATGAGAAATCATTTCTTTCTCGGTATCACACTTTCCAGAATCTTGTATATGCATATTGACTAATTAATGTGTATTTTTTTACAATGGTATTATATAAAACTAATTTTTCTTTCCTTTTTTTTACCTTTTTTTTTGTATTAATGTATTTTTCAGGTATTTGCTTTCTGCCCGTATCATATCGGTCAATTAACGATAGCAGGATTGGGTCTGCAAGAACATGCAGCCGCATCACATTTTGAAGGCTTAGTGACCACGTTGTGCGGCTACTGCATTATCGGAGTTTGTCTGGTGATCCTTCACACTCTCGCCGCACTATTAGGCTTTCAACGTTCCCAGCGAATTTTAGGACTTTGCTACGTTATTGTCAAAGTCTCTTTACTCTCTGTCGTAGAGATCGGCGTACTTCCATTAGTTTGTGGTTGGTGGCTGGACATTTGCTCATTGGCAATGTTTGATGCTACACTCAGAGATAGAGAATCCTCGTTCAGACTCGCTCCTGGCACATCCATGTTTATCCATTGGTTAGTGGGAATGGTTTACATATATTATTTCGCATCGTTTATTCTTCTCTTACGTGAAGTCCTGCGACCCGGAGTTCTCTGGTTTCTACGAAATCTGAACGATCCCGATTTCTCTCCTATACAAGAAATGATACATCTTCCCATATTGCGACACGTACGCCGATTAGTCGCGTCTGCAATCATATTTGGCACGGCGATTTTACTGATGTTGTGGCTGCCCGTGAAGATCCTGAGATGGGCTTGGCCGGGATTTTTACCCTACACTGTGACTGTACAAAGCGAAGCTCAGGTAAAATAAACAACAATGTTTATTTTAATCTTTCCCGCTGCGGTGATTAAATAAGTTGTGTTCTCTAAATTCTAGGTCAGCGAGCTTTCGTTGGAGCTACTTTTGTTGCAAGTGATCCTTCCTGCATTACTTGAGCAATCGCACACGCGCACGTGGTTGAAAGCTCTAGTAAGAGCATGGTGTCGCGTGGTAGCGTGGATGCTGGATCTACAATCATATCTTCTACGAAATCAGGCGGATGATCCAGGACCGGCGGTAATTGAGGAACCGCAACATCCGGATTTGGGCGCTGCGCATCAAGCGCTACTACAGAGGGAGGGGCCCACGGGATTTCAACCTTATGTCAGACCGCGATGGTTCCCCGCGAGATTGGTCGGGCTTCTATTTTGCGTTTGCATATCCCTCGTGATCGCCAGTCTAGTCGCTATGACGCTGCCCGTGTGGTTGGGACGTAGAGTGATGGCATTGTGGATGGTAGGCGCACCTGCTCCGTCGCCGCCTGTATTGCCACCTACATTAACTGGATCTGGTAAGTCGAAGTTATTCGTTTTTCTTTTTATAAAAATGTTTCGTGCAATCGTTTTAGGAGAGAATATTACGGATCTTGCAAAATATTTATTTTCATATTTATTTTGGTGAATTTTTATACATATATGAATAATATGTATATACATATTCATATTCTATTTTGTTAACTGTGCACCGATTTCATTTTTTACCTTGAAACGCAATCTTAAATTAAAACTGTGATAGTAATATCACAAATAAAATTGACAAGCAATTTAATGATATTAATACTAATAAAAACTATTTTAAAAAAATTAAAAAAGTTATTACAAAAAATATTACTTTAACCAGGGTTCGAACCTGGATATGTATAAAAATTCACGAAATATTATTTAATACTGAGATTGGTATTCATAATCCGTTCTTATATTTAAAACCTTAAGTATAGTCTTAGATAGATATCATAAGTAATTACAGAGCCATATTAGCATCTTAAGATATTACTCAAGATGGTTTTGAAAACAGATTATGAACACCTAAGCTCTACCTAACTTGAATAAGCATTTTCGTATTTAGTTATGTATTCATATAATATTCGATCTAATATTATATATTTATTTTCGAAAATTTGTATTACTATAATTTTTTACTTTTCTTTTAGATGGTGGCGAGACTGTAGGTCCTTTATCCGGAAGAGTACACGAAGTATACACAATAGCATGCGGAACGTACGTATGTTGGGCCGCAGCTCGAGGTTTAGCATTGGCGTTCTCCTGGTTGCCTCGCGGCCGAAGAGCCATTATAGACCGGATCAAGCACTGGGCGATCTTGGCCGTGAAAGCTTCAGTAGCATTCGTGCTGCTCGTTGGAGTCATACCGCTCCTATTCGGTCTTCTTCTTGAATTAGTAGTGGTAGTTCCATTACGTGTCCCGTTAGAGCAAAATCCCATTTTATTCATCTGGCAAGATTGGGCTTTGGGCGTACTGTATACGAAAATAGCTACCGCCGTAACGATGATGGGACCGGATTGGCGAATACGTCTCGCTATAGAGCGGGCGTACAACGAAGGAATAAGGGAAATGGATTTGAAGTTTGTCATCAAGGAATTAGCAGCCCCCGTCATATGTTGTTTCGGCCTTGCTCTCGCGGTTCCTTATGCCGTGGCCTATGGAATAGTTCCACTTCTTGTGACTAATCTACAGACCCAAATTCTTATCGCCAGACGTCTATATCCTTTCCTTCTTTTAGTAAATCTGGTCTGTGCATTGATTTGCTTTCAGATACGTCAATTTAAAAAGTTGTACGAGCATATTAAAAACGACAAATATCTGGTGGGGCAAAGGCTCGTGAATTATGAGCATCGTAACAAATCGCAGACTCAACAGCATCAATCACCAAAGTCGAGCTAACGGTGTCAATAGGCATAATATTGTTACGGGCGGAAACGGATTAGGATTAGCTTCGTGTACATTCTTTAAGATTTACTTACTGATTGATAATTTATATTATATATATATATATACATATAT